GTTTTTTTCTTAGTGAATTTGAAGAGTTCTTAGTATTTGCACATTTTTAAATTTTATATTAATACCGCCGTGTGTAGTGTACAGCAACTTTCCCCTGAACGTTACATGTGTAAGATTAATCCAGGTCAATATGTGTAACTCTAAGGAAAAAAAATGTGTAACTTCGATTTGTTTGGTTTTGTTGCTTTACATTTCTTCCCTTTCATTCTTCAAACCAGTACATCTGGCTTCTGCCTTCACCACTCACTGAAACTATTCTTATTGAGGTCACTGAAGCCTATGTTACCATATTCACGGGACAAATCTTACTGTTCCTCTCTGCGGCATTTGATATTTCTGACCATTCTTCCTTCCGGAACACTCGCCACGCTTTCAGGACACTACACTCTCAGGACTTCTTTTGTCTTTCTTCTCTATCTCCCTTGCTGGCCTCCTCCCTCAGCTGGGTCCTTGCTTGTGGAATTCCTTGGGTATGTTGTAAGTCCTCTTCTCTTCCCTCTGTGCACCTGGGATTAGATTTCAACCACATGTTTTTGTGGGGGACCTATTGCTGCATCACAAACTATCCGAACTTGGTGGCTTAAAACCATAAGGCTTTTATAGCTTCTCAGAGATGCAATAAATACCAGGAGTCCTGAGTCTTTGGAGACTAGCTACCACAGTTGATGGGTCCAAAATTGCTATGATTGCTCTTCTAAGTTCTAGACGTAAACATTCAGTCACCTATAGACCTCTTTTCCCACCCTTGCTCTCCAGGGCCTTCAGGTTATTGCCCCTCCCCAATCCCTCTTCCTTCTTGACTCTCTCCAGCTAAGTGTTCGCATCACCTGCACATAGGGAGTTCAAGCCAGAAACTTGGGGATCATCATTGGCTCCTCCCTCTCTTACCAAGTGTGTACACAGTTCAGATGTATTCAATTTAGTATTATCTCCATTTTGCAGATGAGGATCCTGAGGCTGGTGGAGGCTGAATAAATTGCCCAAAGTCTCGCCCTGTTCAGTAGTGGGGAGAACTAAGACTTGAGGCCATGGGCTGTGCAGACAGGCAGCCCTGCCTCCAAAGCCCTTGTGCCCAGCCAACGCCCCGCTGCCACTCGGTGCAGGCGACCGTCGCTTCTCTTTTAGATGTCCACAGCAGCTTCCCAGCTGGAGTTCCTGCTTCCAACCTGACCCCATCTGACCATCCTCCATGCTTTGCTGAGAGGGATCTTTCTAGAATGCAAAGTAGGTATGGCTCTACTCAGCTTAAAACTTTGAATGGTTTTCCTCTCGCCCTCGAGATAAAATTCAACTTTTTACAATAGATAATACAATCCTTCACAAATTGGTCCCTGTTAACTAGACAGTGTAGCATGGGACAAGGGTCCTTCATTTCTCCATGAGGGCATTTTGGAAATTTGTAGAGGTCTTTCATTTATCAAAATGATAAGAATGTACTACTGGCATTCGGTGGGCAGGGGTCAGGGTGCTAGAATACTCCAATATGAGGAATGGACTCTCCAAGAATTATCCTGGGTTGCATGTGTCTTCCAATGTCCTACTGAACATTCCATGTGGAAGAACCTATTTATAATCACCTGAGCCTAGAATCTATCTCCATTAACCTTACACTCATGGGAGGTGGGGACGGGTTTATTTTTGGTTCACACTTGCCATGAGAATGTGATCCTTTGGGATGCCATCTTTATGAAGGGAGATCTCCTGTGAACCTCCCTTGTTGAGCAGGTCCTGGGGTGTTTCTTTTTTCCCATGAGACACTGACAAAAGCTCATGTTCACCCAGCAGGCAAATGTCTTCAGAGCAAAGGCCTGCTTCAGTGTTCCACTTGTCTGCGTGCGTGTCCCTTGCCTTTACTTATTTTGTTTTGCCTTGAAAATTCCTTACTTTCTTATCAAAGCATTTAAGATTTTAAAAGTATTTTATCCAGGATTATTAGTTGTTTTTAGGGAGAAGGTTTCCAAGGTACTGAGCCTGGCATATTATTAGAAAAATGAAAGTACAAATATGAAATATTTTTGCACATAATTAATATCTGTCTTTTCTAGGAATACAACTACCGTATTTTTTTGTGTTGTTCCAAACTTCAACAGAAGTTGTCCACAATTTTGGAAAAATCACACCACAAATGACAACGCTGCCCAACAAACTCTCGTAGGTCAGTCTGCACTTGTTACTGTCATGTTCTTAGTGATTCTAGGTATGAGTGCATTCAGCTGACCACTTTACCACGTTATCTTCCAGCATAGCGGTGCCTGAGCACTGACGTTGAAATACTTTTCTCTTACTTCCCTTCATTATAATCGAGGCATTATATTGATTTATTGTTTTGAAGTCAAGGAGGTTATATTACCTGTCAATTTCACTTTGGGACAGTAAAATTGAGTTACAACATAGTTGTTATAATAAAGGGACATTGGGTCTGATAGGATTCAGGGTCACTTGGTATCAGTTTCTGGAGACAGTTCTGCTCTGTAGGTATGTGATTTTTCGGCAAGATGGTTAACTTTCTGGTGTCTCAGTTTCTTCATCTCTAAAATGGGGTAATAATACAAAGTTCAGAAAGTTACCGTAAGGATTAAATGAGTTATGATGTGTGGAGTCACGACAGCGCGCTGCACGTGGTACGTGCTAACAAATTTCAGATGCTACGATCCTTCTTTGATCTAATTTCTTGCTTCTCTGAGAGTTCTAGCTCTAACCACATCAAAATGCTTTGTTTTTAGAATGTGCTGTGATTCTTTTTGTTTTGCACATACTCTCCCTCTGCCTTGAAATGCTCCTTCCTCCACCTCTGCCCCTGGCTAATTGCTACTTACCCATTGGTCCTCATTTAGAAGTTACTTTCTTTATAAAGCCCACCCCTGTCTCCCGAAGTCTGGGTGAGTGTCCCTCTATTCCACCCCAGCGGCTGCCATTATCATAGAGTGATGTTACAGAGAAGAAGGGCTTCCATTAGCTGTGGTGGGCAGGGAAGGCCCTCTGAAGAGGGGGCATTTGAGCTATGGCCTGAAAAATAAGGAAGAGGCAGAGTAAAGCCAATACAAAGGCCTTGAGGGACCCCTTGGTGTGTTGCTGCAATAGAAATCAGCTTTGCACAGTGTATACTGAGTGAGGGAAGGACAGAATAAAAATAAGACTGAAGAGCTGGGAGGTTAGATCCACCATCTCCCTGACCCTATCACCCTGATTTCAGGCAGGTAAGACTACATACCTGAAAATCTTCACCTCTGTACCCACGTCTGGATCCCTATATGACCCCTACATCTGGAATGTGTTCCTTACCTTCTCTGATTAATAATAAAATTCTACTCATCCTTCAAAGCTGAGTTTGAAACTGTTTACGAAATCTTCTTCCATTCTTTAGCAGGAATTAATCACTCTCTTGCTTGATGTTCCAGAGCCCACGTGTCCCCATAGCACTAATCCCATGCTGACTTATATCTCAGCTAGCTGTTCACATGCCAATCTGCCCACCACACAGTGAGTTCCCCAGGGCAGGCTCTGCCTTAGTCACTTCTGCAGTCATCTCCTGGTGCCTAGCCCAGTGCCTGGCCCACAGCAGGTGCTCAATGAATGCTGTGACATTTACTTGACTAGTGGGTGGTGCTCAGCACTACTTATGGCAAACAAAAATAATAACAACTTCTGGTTTATCACATGCTTTCCCATTCATTACCTGATTTGAGACTGTGAAACAGTTGAGACAGGCACCATTAGCTCCATTTTACAGAGAGAGTAGCTGAGGCCCAAGGGCACACACGTAGTAATCCCAATTCCATCCCTTTACTTCTGATTCGGGGGTGGGGGGGGGGGATGATGGAAACATTTGAAGACAAAGGGCTTGGTTGAAGCAGAAAGGTACTTTTGTGGGTGGACTAGGGAGGGATCCTGTGAGCTGGGATGGAGTTAGCAGCTCCATCGGGGAGGGCAAAAGATTCCTCTCCCACACCCAAGTAGTTGGAATAAACTGCGGCACCATCCCCCAGCCCTGGCATCTGGGGAACCTCCGACCCTGGAAAGAGGAGACGGGTGTTCACGGGTGTTCTAGTCAGGTGGTTAGGATGACGTTAACGATGACTTGTTGGCAGGAAGCCTGCCTCTCAGTTGCTATGACAACCGAAGCTTGACTATTGGGCCCTTGTAAGGTTGACTGAGGCGGGGTCTTCGTTAACTAGAAATTAGGGAAGGACATTTGGGGCGGGGGGTGTATACGCGCGCCGCGGAATAAAGAAGAAAAAGAGGTATATTCGAGATCACGTTTAGCTCACTCATTTGCCACCTCGGCAACATTAGAATCATCTGCGCAGTTTTAAAAGGTCCGATACCTGCACCATCCTCTAGGCCAATTAAGTCAGTTTCTGGGAGTGCAATCGGGCATCACTAGTTAAGTGTTCCCAGGTGATCGCAATTAGAACCAAAGCTGCAAAGCTTGCTCTTAGCTAGTAGGTGAAATTCTTGCGACCTTCCCAAGATGGTGGCTATGCAACCGCTTCCGCTTTTACGGGCCGGGCGGGAGGCGGGCTTTTCACGGGCGCATGCGTGTCCTGTCCTTTCGCTCCTGGCTCCCTGCTCCTGTCCCCCCGCCTCCATTTTGTTCGCGGACGCTGGGGACAGTGGGAGCAGATCCATTTCCGGGTTGGCAAAAGGGGCGGCGGCGGCGAGAAAAGGAGCTTGCCGGGCGGGGGTCGAGCAGGACGGGACAAAGCTGGAGGGGAGGTGGCGGAGGATTTGCTCCCGGAGTCGCTGGGCCAGGTCGGAAACCGGCGAGGGAGTCTGGGTCCGTCGCTGAGATGACCTGCGGACCTGAGTGGGAGGGAGCGCCAGGGAAGAGGGGGCTGGGGCGGGGCTTCAGGGGAGAGGGGCGTTGGAGGAGGGGCCTGAAGGAGTGAGGGGTCCTGGGGGCGGGGCCTGAGGGGAGGGAGTACTGGGGCGGGGTCGGAGGACCCGCGGGGAGAGGGGGCGTGGGGGGGAGTGGTTGGGAATTGGTGTGGGGAGGACGCTGCCTGTGAAAATGTGGAGGAAGGTTACTAAGAGGCAGGAAATAAAGGATCCTGAGGGTTGGGTAAGGTGAGTAAGACAGCAGCTCAGAGCGAGGAGCGAGGTAACCGTGCGCAAAGAGGGAGATGGGGAGGGAGGACCTGTTGGGAACAGGTAATTAACAGGATGCTCCGGGTGAGGAGGCCAGTGTGACATTTTGGGATTTGGGTTGAGTGAAAAGCAGCGGTTGAGAGGTTTGCTCGGGAGACTGCTCACACCAGAGGGAATCTTGAGAACGTCCGTTGAGTAGGAATCGCGACTGAGTAAAGGTTGGATTGAGAGATGCTGAGATGCACCTGGCCACAGCCTAGAGTTGAGGCTTCAGTTCGGAGAGGCGTGACGACGTGCGGGAAGGTGGGAATCCGAAAGTGTGCGACGTGGGCAGTGTGCGTTGTGGAGTTACTGATCAGGAAGGAGAATTCTTCAAAGGTAACACTGGGGCGACAAACTGGACGGGCCGGCGTGTGCTGGAATTCGTAATTTTAAAGGAATTGGAATAACCTGTTACTGCTTTGGGCTCCTCCGAGGTCCACCTTTTTCATGCTGTTGTTTTTGCCTTAGAGTTTCTGTGTAGGAATGACTGATGGAATGGTTTTGGTGACTTTTTTCTCCTTTTACACATCGCAAAAGAATCTCAGCTTCTTTTCTAGCTCACCTATGGATTTACTAAGTAACTAGAGGCTAATTGTTAAACTCTCATTTTTTTCCCTTCGAAATATAGGTTTGATTTTGTCACTGCCTCTGAAAGGTGGTGTCCACCAAATGGGATCTTTAAAGTGGTTGTAAAGAAGTGATGTCTGAAAACAGGATGGACACATTAATATTTAGAAGACATGTCTTTTCAGTTTTTTCCTCTCAGCCTTGCTGCATTTCTGTGCTAGGGAAGAGTTGGGGAATTTTTTAAATCCTCACCTGAGGCTATGTTTATTGATTAGAGAGAGAGAGAGAGAAAAAGAAAGAAAAAGAAGGATCGATGTGAAACATCGATGATTGGTTGCGTCCCGCACACGCCCGGACCAGGGATTTAACCTGAAACCTTTTTGGTATATGGACAACATTCTGACCAACTGAGCCACCAGGCCAAGCCAGTGGAGATTTGATACATGTCTATTTTTTAAACTTTCCTGAACTTCAACTTTTAGTAGCCCAGAACTTCATATTATTCTGTTACATTGTATTAGCTGCCATCAAGATAGAGATAGGATAGAAATTGGAGTTGGGGTGAGTGAGGTCTGTTGATGGACAATATTGCAGAATACAGTCTGCTACCAGAATGTTTTACTCTGAAATTTTTTTTTTTCCATTTCTCAATTACTTTGCTCTTGACAAACACTGACTTCGTGATCTTTTTGAAAATTCACTGAAGTGTACTATTTTAGATAGTTGCTTTGGTCCAGTCACTTTGGCCCTGTTGCCACTGTGCTTGTGGACAATTTTAACCTACTGTTAATCCTTTGAAATATTGACTGATTTAGCGTTTCCTTTGGGCATAATACCCTAAATACTTTGCCTGTACGTGAACTTGTTTAGCTTAGAGGTGTTCCTGAAAGTCTGGGCATTTCTGAAGTCTGACGTGGATTTGCTTAAGAGGGGGCAGTTTCTAATTCTCTCTCACACTTGATATCAGAGCAGTGTTTACCTTCTTAGCTGGTACTGATTAGTTACGTGCTGTCAGCACAAAGGTGAAATGCAGGGGAAGGGAGAAAGTGTTGGGAACAGTGGATTTTTCAGGTTTTACTTTTTAAGAAGGGAAGAGAGGAATCCTGTTCCTATTGAAGAAAAAATTGTCAGATGTTTTTTTCCTTGACTTCTTGGGCTCTTTGACTGGAAGGGAAGCCAGTTGTACTTGAGTCTGTTTTCCTATTGCCCTTGAAGTAATTCTGAAAATCATGGTCTGCTGGTTCAGGCTGTTTGAGCAAACCATAGTCTTTATATGAACCGTAGGAAGAGCTGTCGGCTATGAGGTATATACACTTGCTTGGGAATTAATATTTTGCTGTCATTTCAACCTACAGTGTGTGTTTTTGGTTTGTTTTTAAGAAGGTCTTGAAATAAGTCATGGAGGCTCAGAGCTTTGGGAAGGCTTTTGGGTATAGCCTGCCTGTTTAACATAATGATTTTTCATTTTTTCCTATCCTGTTATGTTTTTCCATTGCTCTACTTGATCGAGTCCTAAGTGGAAACAGCAAATTACATCTTTTTTTTCCTCCCTTTTAGTCTCTGGTGGACATCTTGTCTGTGTCACAGTTTGATACCACCAAATTGAAAGGATTCTTGACTGCTTCAAATGAGGTGGGTGACAGAAGCTGAGCTGGGTGCCCTGGGCCAGAGAATGGACTCTGTCAAAGCAAAGAATAGTTGCAGAAACACAAACCGGGGCCTTGAAGCTGTGACTAACATTTTGGCAACATGCTTCTTTTTGCCAAATAACTTCTTTTCTTCTTGAATGTGATTGTTGATCTCCTTCTGAAAACAGGCCCTTGTTGCTACTGTTCTTCACACAACTCCTGAGCAGAGGCTGGCGGAGTTCCGGCTGACTGTCTCTGGAGGGCTGTGCCCCGGATTAGAGTAGATGGGGTGTTCCGTGTCAAAACGAGGCTCACTGGCAGGTCCTGAGAGCTGCTCCGCAAGGACATAGAGGCAGTACTCTTTACTGAATGGTTTTGTACTCCTCTATTTTTTCTGAATTCAAATCTGTTTCTTATTCATCGTGTGATTAAATGCAGAATCATTGCCTTTGTCTAGCTTGGAAAGTCCAGGGCATTGAGGGAGAGAGAGTATTTCCGACTTCTTTATTTCTCCACTCTCACTCAGCCTTTGAGCTTGGGGAGTCACAGACTAAATTCACAGGGACCGTTTGGCATATTATAGGAGGGTATTTAAAATGCTGCATGGAACTTTATGGAGAAAAACAGTGTTAACAGGGAAAAAGGTGATACATTTGCTAATGCAGAAAGAGCCTGTGGAGGCCAATAAGTTATCAAAGAGGGGAGCTAGGCATTGGCTTATAGCTTGCCATTTAGACGTGGCAAAGTTATAACGCTTTAGAATGGCTATACTAAATACTTTGTTCTACTTAGTAAATGCCTTTTTCAGTATGTTCTACTTAGTAAATACCCTTTTGTTTTTCAGGGGATAATTAGTTGAAGATAACAGTGTCTCCGATAGGTCTTGGGATGGATTATGAAGATCATTTCTTGCACTATTTGACAGTGGTTCTTGTAACATTGGAGACCCCAAGACAAATCCTCTCGTTGGTGGCCCCGGATTCGTCTCTCTCCTGTCATCCTTAGTCCAGCGTATTCTGTTCCTGATATGCAGGTTTGGGAAACTTAACAGGTTTGGGAAACTTAACAGGTTCAGAACTAAAGGTTAAAACTCTGGTCCAGGGCTGCTGCTAGTCATTTATTTATTTGTTTATAATAGATTGGAGAGAGAGAGAAAAAAAAGAGAGAGAGAAACAACAATTTGTTCCACTTATTTATTCATTCACTGGTTGATTTTTGTATGTGCCCTGACTGGGGATCGAACCTGCAATCTTGGTGTATTGGGATGATGCTGTAACTAACTGAGCTATCTAACCAGGACTGGTCCAGGACTTTGATTGTGATAACAAATGTTATTATTGGAGTGATGTTTAAAAAGTTTCAGATCTCTCTTTCCTGAAGAATATCTTAAAGTTTGGCAAATCTGTATTTTAAGGAACATGTGTAGCTTTCCTCCTCATTCTTATAATTGATTTCCAAAAGAATTTAGTTTCTTAAACTTTGTGGATTCAAATTAAGCTCAAAATTCAAAATTTAGAGTTTGAGGCCCTTCAGTGAAAATACTTTATTTTTAGTCAGGGTTTAGTATTTCTTCAGTATAAATTCATCAGCTTTTTATGCTTATAGAAATGCTTTTTATAATGCCTTTTTACTTCTCCCAATAATCCCTTCTGACTGAAAACATTCCTCATATGTCCAGATTGGCACATTTGGTTGCAAAAAAAAAAGGAATTTTTCTTCTAAAGTGATGTAATCTAGTATGGGGAAAGCTGCCTGAGGTTGTGGCTGAGTTTTCCTTCTTCCTACTTCCGCCCTACCAGTGCTCAGCTAGTAGGCAGAATGTTTGTCATTGAAGATCCAGGTATGAAATGTTTGAATTCTTTCCATCCCTGTCTTAGAAATAAGGACAAAACTGTCCTTAGCGATTTTTACTTTTTAAATAGATAATACATTAACATAGTTCAAATTTCAAAAGATAAAAAAGTGGTACAGTGAATAGTTTACCTTTTACCTTTAGTCTACCCTACTCATAATCCAGCTCATCTTCCCAGAGGCAACTAACACTACCAGTTTCTTAAGATCCTTTCTAGAGATACCATGTATATATAAAGCAAATAAGTATATATCTTACTTTTTCAAAAACAAGTCTAGTACACTATTAATACACCATACTTTTTTCTTTTTAATAAATAATAATACAAGAATAATCTCTGTGTTTTGTGTACTCACAATTATAAACCTACTTAGCCCACCCGGTATAAATAGAGTTGCTGATGGTGATTTTGGAGGGGGCTGTGTTATTCACTTATTTGACAAGAATTTTTGAGCTTCTGCTCTATGCCAAGCACTGGGCTAGGTGCTGGAGAAATAGCAGTGAGCAAAACTGATCCAGTTCCTGCACTCACACAGTTATGGTCTAGTGGGGAAGATCCACTAAACAAATAATTACTTTTGCTCTAAGTACTATGGAGACAGCTAACCGGAAGCCTAACCCAGGTTGACTGGGAAGGTGGGCAGGGCAGGGAAAGTCGGTGAGGAATTGACTTTGAAGGCTGAAGCTTAAAGGACGAGGGGAGGACAAAAGTCTGTTCTGGGTAGAGGAAATGGCACAGGTGACGATCCTGAGGAGGGAAAGAGCATGGCTATTTTGACAAACTGAAGGAAGTTCCAGTGTGTCTGGAGCTCTGGGAGTGAAAAACAGAGAGGTAGGAGGCAAGGCTGCAGCGAGCATGAGCTCTCCAAAAGTGAGCGAATAGCATAGTGAATTTTGAGCTCAGCCTTTATGATAGAGGTTTGTTTTTTTTTCCTGTCAGTTCTTTCCACAGATACTAGTTTACTGGTGTTAATGCTAAAACCATCAATATCATAAGGAAACCTGATGTGATAGAGTGGAACATGTTTTCTTTAAGAATTTCCCTGGATAAAGTTTATTTTAGTCTTGATTTCTTTTAGGTCCTACAAATTAAACTTGTGTGGCTGGCTTAGGTCTTAAAATTTTAGGATCTTAGAAATTGGTAAGGAGATTTAGTGATTATTGGGGAGTAATTCGTAGATTATGGGCATGATGGAGTGTTAGTTTGCCAGGCTTGCTATGTAGGAAACAGAAAACCTATTTACTTCTAGGGAATATTTTTTGTAAGCCTTATGGGGCTAGAGAGAGCGAGCACAGATATTTCTTATTATGAACTGGAGAGGATAATATTTTATCATACCCTTCATGTAGGCTATATATCTTAACGTACCGTATGACTCTTGTTGGACATACAAATGACTTACTACCCCAAGGACTATATAAGAAAGCACGGAAGCATTTTTATCTGCAGGTATATTGACTTTTGTTCAGAAATCACAGTACTCTTCCTCAAAGCCCAGATGGGCCTGTTTAATTTAGTACGTTGTGTAATTTGATCAGCTTGCCCTATTTTCGTAACTTAAAGTAGACTCTTGGTTTAGCTGCCTATCACTAATGATCAAGGAGTGAAAATGTGAAAATTTTTCTAGCGTTTCAGCAAGAAACATCTGTGTATCTGATGGCTTAAGGGTATCAGAGTGAGAGAGAAGAGACTTGTCAACAATGGCAGTCCTGGCTTTGTTACTGGATTACCGTGGGGTGGTGGCTCTTAGCACGCTACCTTTGGAATGAGGCACGCCCCTTCTCTCTGTGTGATGTCTGGGTCAGCGCTTCGTGGAGCACCTGTTTCAGTTTTCTTTCAGGCCTTTTCACAGGGAGACTGTCTTCACTGGATTTTCTGTATTTCTGACTGTTCTCTGTGTATGCTTCTCCACTTTTATACTTGCGGTGTGCTAACGAAGGCTGGCACGTGGAAATTGGGGGCCAGTAATATGAGATATAGCTAGCCTAGGGTGAGAACAGTCGTGTTTTTGGTCATCAGTAACTAGGTTTCAGCTCTCCTTGTAAGCCTTTTTAATCTAATAGTTTCTTAAAACTTCTAAAGATGTTTTGTTAACAGATATTGGTGGTTTTTGTTTTTTAGTTAGTGCATTAAATTTGAAAACAAGTCCTAGAAAGGATCTAAGGTAACTGATTTTAAGATTTATCCCTCTATTTGTGTGCTTACCTTTACAATTGATTTTTGTCACAATTTCTTATAGTGACCTAGAAGTTCCTCACATATTTGACCCCTGACGTAGAGTAAACTCTAGGGTGGCGAACACTGGTTGCACCAGGCTGTGGCAGAGATTCAGGTCGCATTAGGCAGCCTGCTTCCATTAATGCTGAATTCAGGGCGCACAAAGCAAGCATAATAGCCTTTTGATTATTTTGTTTTGTGGGGGAATTTTGTACTGTCCTTAACTATATCGGTGATAGATCCAATTTTTTTAAAAAATTTTATTGATTTGAGAGAGAGGGAGAGAGAGAGAAACTGATTTGTTGTTCCACTTATTTCTACATTCATTGAGTGCTGCTTTTATGTGCCCTGACCGGGGATTGAACCTACAACCTTGGCATAATGGGACAGATCCAGTATAGACTGACCTTATTTTTTAAAATTTCAGTCTATCTGGAGCTTGATTTCTCTTATACAGTGTTAGAATTTTGGGGGTTTTAGTGATTAAATTTTAAAATTTAAAAAAATCAAAATAGTAAGACTACATAGTTTAAAGAGTCAAATAGTACCATAAGTCTTATAATTAAAAAAAATTGCTCTCCATTTCTCCTTGTTTGTCCTCTGTTACTTTGAATACTTTTAGTGTTTTTTCCTGATATGTATTATCTTCATGATTCTACATAGTATACCTATACTATTATTTCTTGATTCTTTTACATTCATGGAAAAATCATTGCATGCAAATCTTGATTAAATCAGTATTTTGTGTTTTTATATTATGTGTCAGGATTAATTCAGAAAAACAAACCATTCTTGATAGTTCAGAGAGGGTATTAGATGCTTGCAAAACCATCAGAAGGCCATGGGAGCGTAGGTGAGGGGAAACCATGGTACAGGGATTTAGAAGGAAGTGCTACCATTAATAATCTTGGCTGCTTTAAACACCAAAGTAGGCAATTTGCAGAATAGTGGCAGCTGCTGCAAACCACATGTCTCATCTGTCGGAAGCCACACACCTGATCCCTGCTGCTGCTGGAAGAGCAGTAGCAGTATGACACTTTTCCTATCTTCCAGATCTTAACTGAATGACTTGTATTCTCAGAATTTAAATCACAGCCCCATTGATTGGATTCTGGGAATGTAGTTCCCAGGCCTCTAGCCTCCAGCCTCCTCCCACTTGCCATCCCGTGAGTCCAGAAGAGATTGGTGGTAAATGTTACCAAAGGGGAAAAAATTAGCATGTAGTATAATGACCGTGTGTAGTATGATTATATTTCCTTCCTGATACATTTTCCCCTAAATGTAATAATTGCCATTCTTTTTTTTTTTTCTTTTCCACTGTCTACCCCTCTTTTTCCCTTCTTTCTCTTGCTTGATTTACGGACTGTCAATTACTAATTCATCCCTAAACTCAGGGAGAAGTATAAATCTCTTTTCAGCACATTCAAACGCATTAGTAGAGTCCATTGGAGGGGGTGCCTTTTTTTGAGGCCATTCATGTCTAAATTGTCTCTTTTCTGCCTTCATGCCAGCTCATATTTGATTAAATATAATGTTATGTTGGAGATCATATCTCTTTGGAAATTTTAAGCCTTGCTTTGTGGTCTTACACTTTTCAATAATGGTATTGTGAAGTTTGATGCTATTCTGATTCTGGATTCTTTGCACAGGATCTGTTCTTTTCTCTGAAAGGTTTTAGGATCTTATCTTTACCCATAGTATTCTGAAATACAGTGATGTGCCTTGGTGTGGATATTTAAAAATTCATCATGTTTGGCCTTTAGTGGTCCTTTTCAGTCTAAAACTTATTTCTATCCTGTGAAGTTTTCTTGTATTATATCTTTGATAATGTATTCCCCCTTTCATAATTATCTCCTCTCTCTTTTGGAACCCTCTGTTAGCCATGTGGTGAAACTCCTAGACTGGTCCTCTATTTTTTTCCTTGCAAATTTTTATTTTATTTTTTACTTGATTTTCAGATTTC